CAATCTTGGCAGACGGATTATCGATGGAAAACTAGACTTCCCTTACTTTTTTTGATAGTCTGTATATCTGTTGTCTATCGAAAGTCATAAAAATTCGGACATTTCGTGTAGTCGCCTCTTAATGTGAAATAGAGTAATGGATTGTCTTAATCCGCTACCACACAGCCACAGTGTATAGACCCGGCTGCCCCAAAATCTTTGCTGCTGTCTTTCGGGTGTACTTATGTAATATGATCATTCCTTTACTATTTTCCTGTAGGTATTTTTTGTAGAATAAGGGTGACAAACGGGCAAATAGTCCACCAGATGTTAAGTGGATGGTGTGGCCTATAGACATCTACATTTCTCCTCGATTAAGAATCAAAAATCAGATGCGTTGTCACCCATAAGGACTAAGATGTAATGCCGTGTTTCCAATAAAAAGGGTCTCCCGTTTTTTGCACTATAGTTGCAGCAGCATTGATCTGCTATTTTACGCTGGTATTCTGTGAAAACATGGTCCTTCCCCGGTCGAGCCGACCCATTCGTGCTACAACCATGAGCAACCATCAGCGTGGTTTTACCGCGTATAAACTGTAGAAAAGGTATTCTAACAACTTTAACGGATTTACAAGTGGAAAGAGTCTTTTTTTGTTTTATAAGAACGTAACCTCCTCAATAGGATTTTCTACTGTAATTTGAGGCAGTTTACATACATAAATTTCACAAGGACAAACATCCGCTGTTTGAATCGCCTTCAACACTGGAATGTCATTGGCTACAGTTTTATGGTAATAATATCTAGCGCATAGAATTATTACGCATAGAAACGCAGTCCAGTACAAAACACGAGCGTGAAAATGATGCAAAGTCATTATGTCAGTGGGCGCGAGTCGAATGTACCTACGCTCGTCACACGCACACATACATGCCATTCAGTGATACCAGTTTCTGGCGTTTGCAATCAAATTGTGCAAATCACTATTTTTTGATTAATTTTAAAAAATCTATATAATAAAGATTACGTATTACGTTCGAAGATTATTTAGTAGAAGTATTTTATGAGAATATAAAATGAGACAAAATAAACACAATAATGATGTTACTAATATAACTTTATAAAAAATATATTAATGGTAAAAAATGCAGACGTAATAAAATTTAAGAATATTATTAAACACAATTAATTTGCTCGAATACAATAAGCACATCGCGTAATGTTTATTTTTAACCGACTTCAAAAAGGGAGGAGGTTATCAATTCTGTGTGGTGTATTTTTTAATGTTTTTTACCTCAGAATTCTACAATTTCTAAACCGATTTAGATTTTTTTATTTGAAAGGATATACACACAGATTGATCCAATACACACACTGAAATTTTAATAGTTGTTTTCCCGAAGTAAAATGATTTTGCCTTAGTAGTACAATAGATTTATTAAAATAAAATTATTAGGATGTAAAAATGGCAGATTTACAATCGAGAAAAACAAAACTCGAATGCGATCTCAAACCAATAGCAATATCTCACAAGTAGGTCGGGCGTACAGGCTAGCTTATACCGAATTACTATAATAAAGTCTGAAAAAAAATTCGCTGGACGTAATGTAGTGTTACGTCTATCGCACGTGCTACCGCGCGCTTGCTACACAGTGAAGGGCCACTAATAAATGTTCATAACATGAACTCTCAAGCGTAGTCATACGATATAAACTAAATAGTTTGGACGCCTGAATAGCTTGTGAGGTATTACTAATGTAAATCTGCCCTTTTTCTAATGTAATATTTTTTAATTTAATAAATTGACTCTACTATCGAGACAGTATAATTTGGCTGCGGGACAACAACCACTAAAATTTCAGCATGTATATACGAATTGATCAAGCTTAGAAATCAGTGTACATACATATTGATAACCTTCCTTTTTGGGAGTCGGTTAAAATAGGATATGTTTGGGTCTAACGTAACATCTGGTTAATGTTTGGGTGTAAAGTGACATCTGATTAGGTAAGGCGTTCTTATTAATAATCTCATGATGTTGTAAATAAAAAAGTTTTATTCTATACTCTACAACGTAACCTTAGTCAATAAAAAGTTACGTTAAAATGGCGTCGAGGAATCGCGATCAGCTGATCACTCCGTATTAGTTTTAAATAGGCACCCATTGTTAAAATAATGTTAACACTTAGAGAAGTAGGTATCTATATATAAACATGTATAAGTACATTATACTTCAATGATAAACATTTGAGTTTTACACAGAGCGTTGCGACTAAACGTTTTAAACACAGATAGAAAATTAATATTTTTAAAAGAAAATTGTGATTTTTTCCCCACAACTAGCAACATTTGTATTATGAGAGCTTAGGTAAGTATTTTTTTAGTTTTACGTACTTATAATGAATTAAATGTATAAACTTATATGTGAAATGTAATACCATCACTTCTTTTATGTTTATCATCACCGTCGTGACAATATTTTACAACACAAACGGTAATTTTTACAATTTTTCGCGAGCTCTTCTCCGTAAGACGTGACGTTGCGCACTGACGCGTCGCAGAGTCAACTTACGCGGTTTCGAGTTAGTTTTACTTGCTTCACTTTCGGTGCGCGTACTAGTATTCTATGCGTAATAATTCTACGATCTAGCGATTTTTTGAAAACGATTTTTTGAAATAAAAATATCAACTTTACATACTACGAGTACATAATCATTGGTGCGCGTAACAGACGCATCGATCGTGTAACATCTGAACGACTTGACCGATTAAGGTCATATTAACACAATATATTTGTTTTGTTGAGGCGATGATACATAGCTATTCTGGGATCTGATAGGTGGCACTATAATTGTTTTATTAACAAATTTTGCATTTAATGAACAAAATAACTCATATTCACCATATAAAAGGTTTTTCAACTGGCGCGGGTAGATTTTAGCTGCCAGTGGCGGCCATTTTGTTTTGGTGACATCTATGAAATCTTTTGTTTATTATTCAGTTACTTATGCCAAATAACCATGGCAAGTTAGATGATTGCACCGCACGTTCAAATGATAAAACTTTATTCTCAAAATGAGTGTTTGTTAGTGCAAACGTTGCGCGCATTGCGCCTGTTTTACGGTAGACGTGGTGTCCCTTTACAGTCGACTCTTCAACGTTTGGTGGCCGGTAAACAATCAGCCAACACCCATACGTTCAAGGAACGCAGAATCGACCGAGAACATCGTCGCGGTTCGTGAAAGTGTACAGCAGAACCCGAGCCAATCGATTCCTCGCCGTGCACAAGAACTCGACCTTTTGTAGATTTCAACTTGGCGAATTTTGTGCTGGGACTTAGACATAAATCCGTACAAAATCCAACTGAACCAGTAGTTCAAAATTCATGACCATAGACAACGCTGATTGTTTGCTGATTGGACTTCGAATCGTTTAGAAGAGGACCCCAATTTTAGCCGAAAAATCATCTTTAGCGACGAGGCGCATTTTTGGAAGAATGGCTGTGTTATGAAGCAGAACTGCCGTATATGGGACGACGCCAATCCACGCGAGGTTCATCAGGTGATGCATCCTCAAAAAGTTACCGTTTGGTGTGGATTTTGGCCCGCGGCGCCTTTGGTCCGTACTTTTTTGAAAACGACTCTGGTGAGGCGGTCACTGTCAACGGCGAGCGCTACAAAACGATGATAACCAATTTCTTATGGCCCAAGCATATGGAACCATATAGACCTAGACGACATGTGGTTCTAGCCGGACGGCTCAAAGTACCACCAGCGGACGCCACGGTTGACATTCTCCATGAGGGTAAGCTTATCTCTCGCAGGCGTGATGTGAATTGGCCACCAAGGTCATGCGATTTTCTTGAAGTCTCAGGTTTATGCAAACAAACCATAATCTACCGATGCCCTAAAGGTGAACATAGTACAAGCCATCACTCAAATCTATGCAGAAGAGTCATTGAAAATTAGACCACTCGGATCCGTGCCACTGTAAGAAGCCGAGGCGGGAATTTAAACGATGTCAAATTCCACACTTAATGGCACATGTGAGCCTTTCAAATAAGAAAAGGATTTTGTTAACACCTCACACACAGCTTGTTTTATTTCATTTCAACATCTACCCGCCATTACTGAAAAACCCTTTATATGTTGGTTAAGTGCCAAAAAAAATCAGGACACTGATAGGCAGCGCTGTGGTCAAGTTATAAGAAATATAAAGGAGGGATCTTTCTAATACAACAAAAAATAATATCAAAAAACTTAAAGGTACAATGAAAAGAATGCAGGGAACATAACATATAAGATTACCTACGTAGTTATATAAGTGCATTTACTTTACTAGCATAGCTTAATCAAATGTTTGTTGGAACCTTATCTAAATGTTAGAAAGGCCTTATTCAAAAGTATTTTTCCTGGTTTTTTTTTAATGAAATAGGTTATACTTCACGGTGATCCTATTTAAATTTGAGGAAAAAATTCCGTCCCTAAAAGTGGCAAAATGTGACAGTGATCACTGTCACTCTTTGCCATTTTTATACATACAATAAATACTTTGAATTTGGAAAACATTTGAATTACTTTCACATATGCTAAATTCGGGACTTTTGTCAAAAGCAGTAAACTAAGCCTTAGCACCGACTTCAGAATATGAAATAATTTTATTTTTTGTTATTTGAAGTCGACTTTTACTTTTCAGCCGACTTCAAAAAAAGAGGAGGTTCTCAATTCGACTGTTTGTTTTATGTATGTTACCTCAGAACTTTTTTTTAGGTGAACCGATTTTGATTATTCTTTTATTTGAGAGCAAATACTTCTCATATAGTCTTATATAAATTTTATCAAGTTCTAACCAGTAATTTTTGAGTTATCCTTAATAATGCGTATTTAATTGACTTCGACTACATTGATGATGTTCTCATTGTACTTATATTGAAGTCGGTCGTACAAAATTTTTAATTTTACCACTTGTTATTAAAAGTTTTTTTGTGATAATATTTTAACACTGTTTTGTTGTCTTGTTTCAGGCAATTTCAAACGTCGATTGGGTCGGGCGCGCGGTTTTATGTTACGAATGTTCGACACGCTGTGCAACTGCACGCAGACCGCCGCCGCTGCCGCCGCCCGCACCACCGCCCGCAACAACCCCTTCGCTAAACGTTGAATCGATTTCCTTGCTATATTTCGCCAAAAACGGGCAACGGGGTTCTCTAGCACACCAATAAATATATCCAAAAGTTTCATGTACACTGTTTAATAATAGTTGTATTTTGTTCATAAATAATGGGGTTCATAAGCGCTGTCAGAGTTACAAATAATTTAAAAGTAATTTTTTCAAAGATTTGTATTTATTTATAAAATCAAAAGCGTGAGCACAAAAATGGAATAAAGCACAAAAGGAGTATATTATTATAGAATTCGCATTTACCAAGATCATTTTAAACAAATACTCTCAAAATATGTAAATTTTATGTTTTTGTAACTACGAAATTGGAAAACATTTTATTTATTTATCGTAGTTTACGCTATCAATTGTTATAATTATTTTATTAATTTTAAAGTTAAAACATTCTACAATAGAATTAAGCTTAGAGTGTTGACAGTAGTCGAATGGTGGATTCGATGCCGTGGACTTTGAATTCGCAGTCTGTACTCTACCATTAGTCTACTGTCGAATAAATGTTAACTTACCTTTATTGTATCGTTTCTAACCAAAAATGCTTTCACAATAGAAATATATTAAAGTATTTTGTATGATGTAACTTGACCTAAATTTAGGATTTTAGCCACGTGGTTCCTTTTATTAAAATGGCTGGTCACTGGTGGTCGATACCTACCTTGTTTGCTCTTCGAATTCGGGCATCAAATGTCTGAAGTAAATATTTCATAGATAACAAAATGGGAATAGTTGACGGTAGATTCGAGCTTAGGGAAATTGATGGTTAGGCGTATTTTTGGGACAGATATCCGATTACATCCGTATTTTTCTATACTAGATGGCTATACAATTTACGTAAAACAGAGTGTTAAATACAATAATAGAATTGCAAAGCATTGATTTTGCACGAAGTCATAGACATTCGTCCGATTTATAAAAACAAAATATATTTATGTTTCGTAATAAGGTATTTAATTTATTACGTACCTATGTATTTAAATATATAAAGGTATAATCATTTTATGTCATTTGTTCATTTATGGCTATTAAAATTTCACTGTTACTGTAGGGAATTATTCTGCTTATCCAAAAAATTCACCCTAGTGTGGATACTCAGGTACCTACATGTCTTTATTTAACCATCGCAGACGGGGTGGATACTCGTAATTCACTTTTATTTGTTGTTCCGCCTTTTTACCAAAAGTACAGTTCAACTCATACACTTTAATTATTTATTTATTATATTTAAATGCGTTTAAATTAAATTATCTAATTTAATTTAAACGATAATATTATAATATATTTTAATTATAATATATTTTAAATACAATATTTTAAATAATATTATAACATAATTTATAAATCCTGTAATATATCAAGAAAATTACCAAAACTAATTTCAATAATGAATAACCGTAACTTGATATCCTGGATAAATTCGTCACTTTTAATGTACATTTGCAATCGATTTCTAAATTACTTTACTACAGATATGTTTACAGTTATGTAAGCATTCCAATAACGTTACTTTTGGATGTTCTTTAACTTCCAAAGATTCCAATGAATTTGTAGTCCTGTGATCCCTGAATGTCCTTTTATTTCAACGTTGACCTCTCAAACAAGAAGTATATATTTTTATAGCTATACTAATGTCTGCTAAGTATCTTGGGGCCAGTCTTTATCATGTTTCTATAAATGACTGTACACAGCCGAGGGAGAAAATCGAAAGATAAATAATATACGAATTCCGATTATCCACCCAGTCTGGGATAGATAGATAAAAACGCGTTTTCGAGTATCCACCCTAGGTGGACCGCCACCGCAGTTTTTTATTTTCTAGTTGATATAAGGGAGACGCTACTGTCCATGTCCTGGATTCCTTTATCTACTCTTTCATCTTTATCAAGATATTATATTAAGGGGGATTATTTTATTTGTTTTACAGTCTTATAATACATATTATGGGAACAGTTGTTTATTACCGACATACCATCTAGTATAAAAAATTACATAATAGGTCGTGTTTCTATAAGGATATCGATAAGAACAAATGAATAAGGAATTGGGATCAACGGTGAGGATATTTGTGGGTTTTAAAAAGCATAATCATTCGAAATATATAGAAGTTTGTAATAAGACTTCAAATATAAGATATTCGATTGATTACATAATTATTTTTATTATTTGTTAGTGTTTTATTAAGATACAAAACATTTAGTTCTGTAGTCAATGGTAAATGGATAATTGTGATCGGTGTGACGACGCTTATAGTTATTAAGATAATAAGTATTTGTCTATGTGTAGTGAAAATAATAAAGAATTTGTAATGAAATTAAATTTAAAATATGTAGAAGGAAGTTTTACATCAAATAAAAGTAATTAAAACCGGTCAAGTGCGAGTCACGTCTCGCTCTATTAGGGTTCCGAACATTTTATGACCTATTTACTTTTTTTCTAAAAAAAAATTGTTTTTGTCACATCTTATGAATCGATATTTTCAGAATTTGTTGTTTACATTATATTCTATATAGTACGACTAAAACAGAAATTTCACATTCTACTCTACTCAATGGACTGTAGACAATGACACCCCACATGCCAGGGTGAGAAAAGATATTTTATTCCGCTCCTTTGTCATGCATAGGGACTCTTCTTAAAAATAATTTTATTGAATATTTAATTCAATATTGGGTTTTGGTTTTTGGCTCAACATTATACTACGACAAGTATTAAAATTTCCAGTCTGTTACTCATTCCGTCTGCGAGTTAAAGATCCGTAACATACGAATGGACAGACAGACAGCAGAGTCCCTTTAGGTACGAAATCAAAAAAAAAATAGAAATACAAACCTGTCAACAGGTTTCGATATTCTTTTCACTGTCCCGTAAGTCATATATGAACATTTCGATTGTTTAACTATAAGGCCCGCCACATACACACGGAATTCCGTTTCGGGATTCCGTTTCGGAATTCCGATTCCAGATTCCCAACGCAGCAAGTTCATATAAAATCTATGACCCGTCACACACGTACGGTAGTTTTCTGTTTGAAATTTTGCGGGCAAAACGGGATTCCGTATGTGTGTGACCGACCCATTCGGTATGTACGTGGCGGGTGTCTTTTTCGCAGGCAGGGACGTTGTTAACGACTATACAGGGTTATTTTTCAGAGTAGCTTATTCCGAACCTTCTCTGCAAATTCGGCCGGTTATTGAAAATAACCCTGTATAAATGTGACAAAATAAATAACTCATTATGGAATTGATGTAAAACGCTAAATATATAAATAAATGATAAAACATAAATCATAATAGGCATCTTTAATAACTACTATGTAATTAAAGATCTTAAAACTTTTGAAGAGCACCTTCCGCCCTTCCATCAATTGCACCACCAATCCCAGCACCGCTACTCCCAACAAGACCACACTAGGCAAGACACACTACTGTCGAAAATATAATGCCTCTTGTAGAATCGAAACACGGGTCGTATTATCGACGATGGTGTGTCTTTCCTAGTGTAGTGGTGTTGGGAGTGGTGGTGCTGGGATTAGTGGTGACGGGGATAGTGCACGCAATTGGTGGAAGGGCGGGAGGTGTTCCTCAAACTAGGTAAGACAAATCATTTTATTTTATTACGTGGAAATAAGCAAATTAATTTTTAAGATCTTTAATATAATAGATTTTCGCAAAGTAATACCTCTGTGTAAATGTAAAGTTTACTATACAACATTTATTTCCTTTTTCCAATGACTAATTAATAACTTGGTAAAGTTCTTCATGAGGAATTTATTCATTTACCTGTGTTTTTTATTTACCTTATTATTTTTTTTAAACTTTAATACGAGTATGTGTAATGCCTTCGACAGCAAGCAACATTTATTTACATTTGCAATATTTAGATATACTATCTACGAGTGTGTAGATAAATGTGGTAAATCGTAAAACATCAAAGCTTACACAATTATTAATATATTGAAATTTTAATGTTATATGATTTGTGTATTAGAATAATTGATCAACGTTGTTGGTTTTAATACAATAGACGATAGTTTAACCGGTGTTTTTAAATTAAAAATTGCGAAAAAAGTCTCTTAATTACAATTTAAAAGGGCCGTTTTCTTTTTAAATAAAAATCGAATAATTTTAGTTGTTTTTGATAGGGTTAGGTACCTTTTTCGAAAAATAAAAAAAATAGAGTTAAAAATTCACCTGACTACAGTGATCGCTATAGCCCATGGTCATCTGCAACTTACTTCAAACAAAAGGCTGTATGCAGTCCACCTCTGACGAATTGTAATCATACTGTGAAAAAATCCCTACAGCAAAATATTAAAATTAATTTACATACCTATTTTAAACATTAAATGTAAATGATGCTTAAATAAATATATTATGTACATGTAGATGATAAAGAACATATTATACAATATATAAGCAATTTTTCCAAGGTGTTTTCCGATTATATACAAATGCAAATAAATTAAAAATGAAGTTATATTATGATTAAAAATAATTTTTCACTATAAAATATGTGTACTGATAAAGAGAGAATTTTTCTGTAAACGTGTAAAATAAGCTACCTATCTCTATGTTAAATGTGATATCCTGCCTGTACTAATGTGATCGAACTCATACTGTCTTCTTGAATATAATAGTAGAAGAAAGCTCAGTTTTATTTTAAAGTGTAAACTCCTTTAGGCTCGCCACATACATACGGAATTCCGTTTCGATATTTCGATTCCAAATACCGAACGCAGCAAGTCCATTTAATATCTATGACCCGTCACACACGTACGTTACTTTTCCGTTCGAAATTTTGCGGACAAAACGGGATTCCGTATGTGTGAGGCCGACCCGTTCGGAATTCCAAAACGGAATCCCGAAACGGAATTCCGTCTGTATGTGACGAGCCTTAGAATCGTGATTTGAAACTCGATGAAACGAAAAAGCAACACTAAAAAGAGACAAACATATACATCTACAGAATTTATCCTACGAGAGAAT